GGAAATTCTTGGCTGTCGCATCTCATGATAATTTTGTTGATATTTATAACGTTATGAGTGGGAAGCGTGTTGGAGTCGGCAAAGGAAGTTCAAGTTATGTCACGCATATCGATTGGGACAGCAGAGGTGAGCAAGGACGGATTTTCATTTTTTTAAAGGAGTTTAAAAATTTCTAGTGGGGTACAAGCTGCACCACTGAGGAGCTTCGGCAGGGGTTAGGCGTTAGGGTTAAAAATTTTCCCACAAAATAGGAGGGGTGAAGCAAAATTTTGGTGGGGTTGAACACTTTATAAGAGGGGTTAGAGAGATTCTATGGGGGTTTAACCCCCCCCCCCCCTCCCCAGTAATCCGTTCATGGAGGTGAGTTGTAGGAACTATTGGGGAATGGGATGGGAAGTAAGGTATTATATTGCTGATCACGGAGTGATAGCTTATACCTGTAAATATTGAAATATTTCGGTTGTTTCGGCAGTTTTTATTGAACTCTTTCAGCGTAATCAGCAATATGATACCTTACCCCCCTGCGCGCATAATTAAAAGCTGGAATTGCCTATTCTACCAAACAGCGCAGGTTTTTTCTAGCCACTCCAATTCCTCTTTTTAGTAACTGTGGACCATTGATGACCATTACTGACATTACTGGAACTAGGTTTAGAACACTAGAGCTAGAGGTACTGTAGTTCAGGTTTCCCCTGTAGTATAACCCTGGACCACTAAGGGATGACTTGTATTAGACCTCTAAGGAGAACAGTTTAGAACTAATAGTGCTATCTAGTCTGAGTATCGGTAGTTTAATGTTAGTTCCGGGGAAAATCTACGGCAGAGATCGGACCCAGTAGAGAAGAGGAAAGGCGTAAGGCCAGAAAAAAATATGTGGGTTTCCGGTTTCTTCTTATAAAAACTTAGGTAGGGTAGGTCGGTTTTAACTTTTTTTTAAAACTTTTTTTTAAATTTTCCTAACAACCGGACGCCATTTTGTTTAGTCAGTGCTTCCACATCCAAAGATAAATTTCCCTAATATTGCCTCAAATTTCAATTTTCCACAAACTTTTTTCCTCTAAGTGGAAACACTTACAAGCATGATCCAATAAAAAAGTTTAGGGTCGGGATTTCGACGTCCAAAAGCTAGGTAGGGTCGGGAAACCGGAAACCCACATATTTGTTTTGGTCTAATGCACTGAGCATTGTGTCATCAACACCCCGGGCCAACCTATTTGGCCGTTAGGACAGAAACTGAAGAACCTGGAGGAAACTTGCGTCCTTTGTAGAGTCGATGACAGCGCTCTTCTCGTATTAAACATGACAAGAACTAATACCCTTAAAATCTACATTACTCTTCAGGTAAACTCGTTCAGTCCAATTCTGGCGCAAAAGAACAATTATTCTTCGAAGCACCACGGGGAGAGCGACACGCCATTGCTTTAAAAGAACTAGAAAAACTGGAGTGGTCTACATGGACTGGAGTATTAGGACGTGAAGTGGAAGGAATCTGGCCTCAATATTCCGACATTACTGACGTGAACGCAACTTGTACGACAAGTGATAAAAATTTGATTGCCACCGGCGATGATTTTGGTTTCGTTAAACTGTTTGAGTTTCCAGTGAAGGTAAAATATCGCCATGCTCAATTTTTCTGAATAGATTTTGACGTTTAACAATGGTTTATACCCTGGCAATAGACCTTATGCATAATGACGTCACAAGGCATCAAGCCCACGAGGGATGCTGGTCTTAATAGTCATTGCCCAGGAAAATTTCGATAGTGGCCATTTTGAATTGTTTAATTTTCCCGGGCGATGACTACTAAGACCAGCATTCCTCGCGGGCATCAAGCGTTGTGACGTCATTATGCATAATGTCTATTTGTGCAGTTGTACTGGTTTTCCCCCCTTTTGAAAACCTTGCTAGGAAACAATGTTTCCTGGTTTGTCCACCTTCGGGAAACATGGCCAGGAAATTGTTTTCCTATCTTACAGTAACTAACAAGTTCTTTCTTTCTGTCTGTCATATCTCAAGGGTAAAAATGCGAAACATAAGAAGTACAACGGTCATTCTGCGCATGTCACAAACGTCCGCTGGACATACGACGACGGGCATCTGGTCTCAACTGGTGGAGATGATACATCGGTGATGGTATGGCGTCGTAACCGACCTAACCAAAGACGCCATTATGCAGGTTGGATAGTTTTTGTAAATAGTTTAAAAGTGAAGATCTCGATTATCATGTTAAGTTAACGGGTCAATTTATATATTAACAAGTCCCCCCCCCCCC